GGTAAATTCATCCAAGACAATCCCGATATTTTATTTATGAAGGCGGATAAGGGTAATATCACGGTTGCGATGAACAGAGATATGTACATGGACAAAATGTGTGATTTGCTGGCTGACCGGGATACTTATACTGTTGTTAAAAAAGATCCGACTAGGAACCTAATTAATCAATTACACGGAATTTTAATGAGATGGAAAACGAAGAATTACATTTCTTCAACAACATATAAATCCCTGAACTGCACGGACGGGGTTTTACCGAGAGCGTATGGTCTGCCGAAGGTGCATAAACCGAATTGCCCTTTACGTGTCATCGTGTCATCTAGGAATACACCTCTTTATTACTTGGCAAAATTTTTACATAAGATAATATATAAGGCAATTCCGAAACCTGATTCGGCTATTTCTGATAGTTTCCAATTAGTGAACAAATTAAATGGTTTATGTGTGGATAGTGATGTGAAGCTAGTTTCACTAGATGTTACATCATTGTTCACCAACGTACCATTGGATATGGCTATTGATAGTTTAATTAACAGATGGGGGTATATTGAAAAAGAGTGTATTATTCCACGAGATGAATTTTTATTGGCAATTCGTTTTATTATGAACTCGACTTATTTTATGTTTAATAATGTATGTTATCAACAGACTTTTGGCACGCCTATGGGTTCCCCCCTCTCACCGATTATTGCGGATATCACGTTGCAAGATTTGGAGAGTAGAGCGATTGCTGCGATTCCATTGTCATTTCCATTTTATTTTAGATATGTTGACGATATCGCGTTGGCGGCCCCACCCTCCATGCTTAAAATAGTTTTAAACACTTTCAATTCTTTCCATCCTAGATTGCAGTTCACCATGGAGGAGGGGGTTGACAACCGATTGAATTTTTTAGATGTCACCATTATTATAAATAATGGGAGCATTGAGTTTGATTTGTTTCATAAGCCGACGTATTCAGGTAGATATTTAAATTTTGAATCGCAGCATCCTCTCTGTCATAAAAAAGGCACCATTATCAGCCTCATAGATAGAGTTTTTTGGCTATCTCATCCGAAATTCCATAAAGTTAACTTTGAGTCTATGATTGGAGTTCTTTTGTCTAATAATTATCCTCTCAATTTGATATTTCATACATTACAAGCGCGGTTAAAAAAGTTGTTCTTCCGCTATAATAATAAGTTGCATAACAATAGAGCAAATGTATGCAATGACAAGATTCTAACGCAGAAAAAAGTTTCGTACTTTAATATTCCGTATATTAATAATGTATCGAAGAGAATCGAGGACATTACACGTGATTTGGATATTACGCGTTGCATCAATAAAAGTGGAATTGAGATGCTTTGTATACTGTCCCAAAAAAATTGGACACGTTGATAAAAAGAGGTAAAGATGGGATCGAAAACTTAAAAAGAACTGATGTTGTTTATAAAATTGATTGTGCGAATTGCGATTCGGCTTATATAGGACAGACAAAGAGACATTTAGAAACGCGCATTAAAGAACATAGAAATAACATAAAAAAAGACAAGACATTGCATTCTGTTGTTAGTTTACATCGGACTTGCAACGATCATGAGTTCCGTTGGGATTCTCCGGTGATTCTGCATGAGGAAAAACAGACAAGAAAAAGAGAAATTGCAGAAATGTTTTACATAAAAAAACAAGTAAAAAGTATTAATTTACAGAAAGATACGGAGAATTTCAGTGGGATTTATGATCGTGTTCTTGACGTTATTTAAGTCGTTTTATATTTATTTTTACTTTTAATTTTATTTTTATTTTTATATCCACCTATTTATTTATTTTTATTTATTTGACTTAATTATGACGATTTAAATTACGAAAGACACATTTAGTTTCGTCTCTCTCTTCTTAACGCTTAGTGACTAAGATTCTTGTGAACAGTTAACATCTATTTAATATGTGCTTACTTCTGTCAGTCTTGCATTGTTCATCAAAACAAGCGTTAACATTGTCGGTAGTTTGCATAGAAGTTGATTTACTGTTTTAAATTTGGTATGTAACACATTTTTGTTTTTAAATGTATAATTAATTGTTGCGAATAAGTGTATTAAATTATAATTATTTTGATTGAACTTTTTATAGATGTACTTGAAAAGGGCTGCAATGACAGCCGAAACGTTGTTGTATTTCAAATAATTATTTATAATAAATTATTGCCAGTCTGGTCGACTTTAAACATTGAGGAGTGGTTTTTTATTAATTATTACTGGCAACCTTAAGGATTATTATTTATCATAAAATTTGTGTTATATTTATTTGAGGCATCTTTTCCTAAAGATTCTTTTTTTAGAATTTTGGAAAAGGCGACAGTTTATTTTCTTCGATAATGTAAATAAAATGTTGCCTCATATTATCAATACGATTCGAATATGTCATATTACAAGGATTTTCTCCTAAAGCTATAGTTGTAGCGAAAGCTGCAGCATAAATTCCACAACATGTGCCATCAGGTTGTTTTTGAACCTTTTCAAATATAATATCATTTGCACTTATTTGTGGATAACGACGATGAATGTAATTTTTTTCTTTAGACACCAATTTATTGTATGTACAATCGGGTAGACTGTCATACACTCGAAGCTTGGTGCCGTCAAAAAATATACATCGCCAATGATTACTGCAACGAGCTTTTGTCGCTACGACTTGCTTCAATTAAATGAGAATATTCTAAATATAACACACTTTGTGTTTCAAAAGGACATGTATTTTTTACGACGCGCAAGAATTTGTCCAATGAATCGTCGTTTATTAGACTATCCACAGGTAATACATTTTTCTCTATTTCACTATCAGATCCCAGACAACAAATATACATCCAAAATACGTCTATGGGACATCATACAAGTTATCCCGCGATCGTAATGGGATTGTCTCATGGGACGCCTATGAGACCGTAAATGTCCGCCTTATTTACCGCAATGGGATAATCTTGCAGACGTCTTAAAAGGGTCCTCACGATATCCCAAAATTTTCATAAGATATCGAGAGGATATTAAAATATACATCCAAAATACGTCTATGGAACATCATATAAGTTATCCCGCGATCGTAATAGGATTGTCTTATGGGACGCCCATAGGGCCGTAAATGTACGCTTTATTTACCGCAATGGGATAATCTTGCAGACGTCTTAAAAGGGTCCTCACAATATCCCAAAATTTTCATAAGATATCGAGAGGATATTAAAATATACATCCAAAATACGTCTATGGGACATCATATAAGTTATCCCGCGATCGTAATAGGATTGTCTTATGGGACGCCCATAGGGCCGTAAATGTACGCTTTATTTACCGCAATGGGATAATCTTGCAGACGTCTTAAAAGGGTCCTTACAATGTCCCAAGATTTCTATAATAGGTATCGAGAAGAATGTACATCCAAAATACGTCTATGAGACATCATACAAGTTATCCCGCGATCGTAATAGGATTGTCTCATGAAATGCCCATAGGACGTAAATGTCCGCTTTTTTATCACAATGGGACAATCTTGTCAAATTCAATAAAAGACATTATGCGGTCTGTATGAAGGCACATCCATCATCCACATTGTATCAAGACTAATAGGACAATTTAGATTTTATGAAAACGTCAATAGACACATTATCGAAGAAACGCGGAAGACTCTCCATGTATGTTACCGACGAAACCCGATTTCAGAATAAACTAATTTTTCCTAGGTTGAACTAGTCCATACAAAATGCGTTAAAATTAACCAGTTCAACTTCTATGCAGTACTATTAACCTTGATAGTTTCCTCGCTTTCAAGTTGTTTTTTTTTATGTGAGAATGCACAGAGCGATGGCGTTTTACAAAGCCCCGTCCCCCCGTGCACTTCTATCTAAATATCATTCTTATATACAAATTAGTTTTTCTTAGGCTAAACAGGAAAAATTAGTTTATCCTAAAATCAGGGTTTGGCCGGTAACATATACACTCTTCACCTGCAAATTGTCACAAGTATTCACATCACCTATATAAACAATTTCAACTTTCCGTGTGCATCAACTGTACGTTGTCTCCACTGTATGTGTGCTCAATATTGGATATTTTACTATTCAAAATGAACAGCGTACTATTAAGGAGATATACAGATAGTGCACAAAGAAAGTTGCGTTTGCATACAAATAAGATTTCCAGTTAAAATAATAAAATTAAAAAATAGACAGGTAAGGGCTTTCTAAAAAAGTAATATTGTATGATAATTATAGTTAGAATATGAATATATTATTGAAAAATACATAAGTACATATTATATTATTGTATATTACGTATATTACGTATATTGTACATACATATCAGTTCTACGTAATTTATAAACGTAATTTATGTACGTAATTTATAAACATGGGCATGAAATTCTTCTTTGCTTAAAAATTATTAAAATAAAGCTGTGCTATGAAAGCACGTATTAAAATTTGAAACTTTATAAAAAAAAACTACTCAACTTTATAAAAAAAACTAATCAAAAAAGAGACCACAAAATAAGGAAACAATTTGTAATAAGAACATATATTATTATAATGTAATACTATCTCTTTTATAGATTTAATGGTCCATAAAAATGATAATTAGTTAGAATATGAATATATTATTGAAAAATATATAAGTACTTATTATATTATTGCACATTACGTATATTGCATATCAGTTCTACGTAATTTATAAACATAATTTATGTACGCAACTTATAAACATGGGCATGACATCCTTTGCTTAAAAATTATTAAAATAAAGCTGTGCTATTGCACGTATGAAAATTTGAAACTTTATAAAAAAAAACTACTCAACTTTATAAAAAAAACTAATCAAAAAAGAGACCACAAAATAAGGAAACAATTTGTAATAGAATATATATTAATATTATATATATATATATATATATATATATATATATAATGTAATACTATCTTTTTTATGGATCTGATGGTCCATAAAAATGATAGTAATTGCATAAAATCTAACTACCTTAGATTTTTTTCATCACTATTTAGAAGATTTTCATCAACTATTTTCTCATTAATATTTTTATCAGCTGCGTTATTAGCCACAGTATTAACTTGGTTTTCATTATCGACTTCATTGATTTCATCCTCGGCCACGATTTCCAAATCATTCGCAACATGTGTTATTTTCCTGAAAAACGTTTTGTATATGTAAATTATTATTTTCTCTAAAACTAATTTTTTTCTAGCTTACTTAACATGGTAATATTTCATATTATTCGGCTTTTACACATATAAAGTATTACGTCTTTTTATTTAGCTTTTTTGCAACAAATACTTTATAAAATCAAGCGTAGTAAATTACGAAATCGTTGTTTCGCAGAATTAAATAGATTGCTCTACAGCAATAAAACATAAAATTTTATGCAAAACAGAACTTCGTAATTTACTACGCTTGATTTCATTAAGCATTTGCTGCAAAAAAGCTAAATAAACGTCATTTTATATATATATATATATATATATATATATATATAAAAGAATAATATAAATCGTTATCATGTTAAGTAGGTTAAAAGAAAAATATAGTAAACTATATCTAAACATATGTTAAATAAAATTTACTTTTGTTCTCGTGAAAAGCGCGCAGGGGCATGACGCAGCCATGATTTAATTGGATCGCTTATATGTTTATTGGTAACAAGAGACTTTGTAAAACGGCAGCGGACAACACCTATATACAAATTAAAATTAATTTAATTTATAATTTATATAATTGCTATTTTAAATATGTCGTAATAGATAAAAAATAAGATACAAATAAAAGGTTACATAGTTAAACATCAGCATGAATTGGTTATATTTATTTTGATACGATTTGACTTACTTGATATGACATCAAGAAGCTTCAGTTTATCAAATGCTTTTTTTTGTGGGCTCCGTGGAAACTATAATTCGAAGCTAATGCATTGCTCATTATTTCCTGCATTAGTTTTAATACAGTACTTTTGACGTCCGCTTGTACAAAAATACCCAAGTCCTTAATCTACAAAAATATTTAAAAATATATGAGGTGCACAGTTAATATAATATAATTTTGAAAATAATTATATAGTTGTATAGAAGAGATCGCTTAAAAATTATTAAAATAAAACTGTGTAGACGTAAAATTCTTCTAATTTGCTAGAGCAGAGAAAAAATATGGGGTCAGACGGATTCGAAACCGGGACCTACACCACAACAAGGAACCACTATGCCTGTTCCACCACGAACTCCTTGCCATAAGTCCTCTCTGCTCTCTTATTTAAACTATTTTCCCTAATTTCCTACAACTGTGGTGCTATTGCACGTATAAAAACTTAAAACCTTATAAAAAAAAACTAATCAAAGAAAGCCGCAATAAGGAAACAATTTTATAATTGAAATATTTTTTTACAGTCCAATTTATCTGTGCAAAAATTATTTTATTTTCAACTTGTCATAAAATTCAGCTTGTACTGATAAACCAAATTGACTTTATAATCTCTATCTTTTGTAAAATGGTTCTTTTGGATCCGAGTGGAATTTTCAATTTGAAGTAATGTACACAAGATGTATTTTTGTTATAATTTTTTGTTTGGGTTCAAAGGGCACGAGCTCTTGCAAAGTCAGTTTGGTTCATTTGTGCATTTTAAACCGTATGACAAATTGAAAAATAATAAAAAAAACATTTGCATTAATAAATTTGTGTGTAAATGCAAATAATATATTTCAGTTATGAAACTGTATCATTATTTTGTTTTTTAGTTTTGTTTAAAAAGTTTCAAGATTTCCTGAATATTTTATACTTGCATCAGTTTTATTTTTATTATTTATACGTATATAGGGCTCAATAGGGGGTTGAGTAGTAACTAGTTAAATAATTAAAAGTTAAATTTAACAATTAAAAAGTGAATAATTTTTTACTTACAATTAGTTAATTTTAAATGCAAAAACTTTACACTTAGTTAATTTTAACGTTTTATTAAATTTGTTTATACTATATAGTTAATAAATAATTTATTAATATTAAAGTCATATAAAAATAGATGATTGTAATGCATAAAAAATATTTGTATGTCAATTTATATGTAATTAGATAAAGAATTATTAAAGTGCTTAAGAAAAAAAAATGACAAACTGCAACTTTGAAATTATACATTTATTATTTAATAAGTATTTATAAATTTTAATAAAAATATTTATTTGCGGTCTATCTTTCTCTTGTATTTTATATCTTCTTTTTCGTGTATTTCTTATATATTTTAATAATGTATTTATTTATAAATTATAAATATTTTAATTTTTTATATATATTTAATAATATATTTTAATAATTAATAATATAATTTGCCAATTAATATAAAAAAATAAAGAAAAATTATTTCACAAATTAAATAAATAAATTCTTGGCTCGTCTATCAATTCATAGGGGGGTAAAGAGGGTTCCGCGTTCGTTTAATCGTGTTTATCTCACAAGTAATGAGATCACGAACCGCGTTTAAAAATCTTGGTATTAACCAAGTAATATTTGTGCCTCTGTGCACGTAATTTAAGTCTCGTAAAAATCTTAAATTTCTACAAGACTAACGCACCACTAACCGCGTATGGCTCGGAAACGCCTGTTTCATATTTGTAAAAATTATTTCTTTTTTTATAAATTATAAAAAACTATTTTTTATTATATTTTAAATAAAAGTACCAATTAAATACATAATTATGCAAAAAAGATAATTTTATATAATTAAGGGGTTAACTTTTTTAACTTTAATTTTTAATTTTTTAACTTAACTTTTAACTGAGTTAGTTCTTGTTTCGACTTTTAACGTTAACATATTTAATTTATGGTCTATTAATTTTCAACTTAACTTAGTTAACAAAATTAATTAACCTACCTAATCCTGAGCTCAACTAAATGATACAAGACTTTTGTGATGTTAACAAAATAAAGTATGCACAACACAAATATATATAAAAAAAAATAGGAGAGCTGACTGACAAATATTCTTATTAATGTTTGTTGCGTTTAGACCAGGTACGACGCCTTGGTGGGGGGTGGGGGGTTATAAACATTGAGAGAAATATTGATTTGTAAGTGTCTGAATAGCTCAGCTGGAAGAGCAGTCGCCCGGCAAGCGGAAGGTCTCGGGTTCGATTCCCGATTCAGCCGACTTTCGGACCAATATTTTTCTCGTCTTTTTCTTACAGGGGATGTTAAGAGAAGGAACAAGGGGAATTTCTGAGATCCCAACCATAGGATTCAAATTCCTCAGTTTCCAAAAATCTCTAAATATTAATTTGTCGCATTAACATCGCGTTTGGCTCTTAGTCGAGATGAAGATGGAGTTTTTTAAAACAAATATATATACTTACTAAGTTGTTTTTATGAAGTATGTCAGTCGATAAACGTCGTTCTTCTTTTATTAAATCATCTTCCGTTAATATAGGATAGGCCTTCAAAGTTTGACTTTCAGTATTTTCGATTTCTTTGTCCGTCGTTTTTGTCGTCATCAATTTTGTTACATTACGCATTTCAGCAATTAATGTGTCTATCTTCAAATCAATGTTAGCCATTGCTCGTAAAACTGTTCTGCTACAATTCTCATCTATAAAAACAATAAAAATATAGTTTAGAAAAAAGGATATAATTACAAATGTTTTGTTTTAGTAGATTTGTTTGTTTCTTACGATCATGCGTCAAACTTGACTGTCGAGTTAATGACAAATCGTCAGTAATAGGCTGGTCATTTACGGATAAATCTCGATTTTTTCTTTTTGCTTTTGTCTGAGCATTTGATGTATTTGAATCAGATTTTTCGGTCTCACTATTATTACCGCTGGAACCTGCGTCGTCAAAGTTAATCGGCGGAAAAGGATCAATAACTGCAGATGATTTTTTATTAAATTTATTTTTTTCAATGTCAGAATCAGTATTGATATCTGACATTATTAAAGCCTGTTTACACTTTTCTTGTCCACGTTTAAAAGTTTCTAAAAAAATAACAATAATTAAGATTAATATTTATAATTTTTTTGCAAATGCATTGACGTAGAATTTTGAAAAATATAAGAAATTATCGTACTTGTCGTAGTCAATATTTTTTTTATATTGTACAAACTCCAATTTTCGGTCGTATTTTCTTTGTCCTCAACAGCTCTTAATTGTCTTGATTTACTTTTATACGGAGGCCAATAACAATGAGTTTTGCGAGGTGTTAACCATTTTTCAGGAGCAAGACTGACGCCATCGTCAAATTCAATGACTGCATATCGATCAGATGTCATCTTGATAAGCTTAAAATTTGATAAACTTAAAATGAATATTAATTCTAAAATAAATATTAAGATGAACAATGTGGTTAATAACTGTGTATACGGTACATCATACCTAATCGCGCAATTAAAACTGCAATTTCCTTCGTTTACAATGCGTAACTACCCAGATAGCCACAGTAGTTATTATGATATCAAAATGATGTCATAATAATTACTGTGGCTATCTGGGTAAGAAACGTGACACTTCGTTTCATGAACGTCCGTATGTAAGAAGACATCTTCTTATCGCCGACTCAATATCGTGCGAGCGATGAGTAAGAAGCAAATAGGTGTAAATCACAAGATCTGGCCAAAATGTGCAAGTAAATCCCAGCACTGGCTTATAAGTCAGTATTTAAAATTTAATTATCAGTATGTAAAAATGGGAAAACGACAAATCCTGATTTGTGTGGGAGTTTTACATATTTGTTGACAACATTACTGAGTGGTCGTATAAATAATGTCTCGCTGCGTGTATATTGAACTTTATATATATCCAGCAATGATGATGAGCATGGAATCTTGAAAAAATCTTCCTTAGAAATAAGCTGTCGGCCTATTATCATCAATTCTTGGGTTTCACGACAGGAAGCTATATTTTGAATCTCAAATATGTCACCATTTTTCAGAATGCAGCAATTATCAGCATTTCCAGTAGTCTTGATAGTGAAATTTGATGATTTTATAACTTTATACTGTGGATTAATGCAATTCTCAGGCAGAGGACCTTTGACATGAAGAGAAGTTGTAACAAGTTCTAAATCATCGTTTGTGCTTTTATTGTAATTCAAACATGCACTTTTTATTTCTCCATAGCGCCGAGCTATTTGCTGCAGTGGTTTCTCTGGTTTACGTATCATATTTTTCAGTATCTGCATGAAATTCTCAAATTTAAATGCACTAAACTTCTCTATAGATCCATGTAACTTTGCATCTTCTACGAGGTGAATAATGCCATGAACGTTGTGCGTTACATGATGCACGCCGTATATTTTAGCGAATGACTTGATAAAATGTTTAGCAAGACTTTCTGCGTAGTTCAGTTTATTCTGATGCCGTTCCACGTCACATAATATTCTGATTAAAACATGAAGCGTCATAAAGTGATTGTACATTGCCTTTGGCAAGATCTTTCTTAAAACAATTGGCCCCGTATAAAGAAGGAATTGCCGAAATTCAGTAGCTTTCCATAGCTTTAAAAACTCCAAGCTTTGAGGTCTTCGACCGAATTCTTTTGAAACAAATGGTTTCATATCACTTTCAAGTCGTTTCGAGATTTTAAGAATTTGTAGACGACCGAGTCTATAGGTATTTTTGCCGTGAATCCATAATGTTATCATTTTTTTAACGACGCCTAACAGTATTAGATGCATGTAATCTAAAGTTACATTAGATACCAATCCCAGTCCTGGTATAGAATCGAGAATCGTTCTCTTTTCGTGATATTTCTTATCACGATAGTCTAAAAAATCCCGATCTGTTCGTCTTTCGGCATTTAATTTGGGAAAACACCTGCGATTTTTTTTTGTTTTTCCTTTTGTTATACATTTCGTACAACTATTAAATCCGGAAAAACCTTTTACGCATAAAATAAACGATTTTGCAGGAGCATCGCAAATGATAAATTGAATCGAAAATTTGTACAGTTTTTCTCCAATAATAATGCCATTTTTGCATAACTCATTAGCTTCTTGAACAAATTGGTCTAAATAAATGTTAGCATCTTGAGGTTTTTGGTGTCCGTAATATACTCCAATCATAAAAACTTCTTTGTAGGGTATAATATTTCACAAAATAGGCCAAAGCGCTGCCGTAGAAGAATTAAACAAGGGGACTCCATCAATGTTTATAGCAATAGCTATTTCGTCAATAGTGAAATTTTCAATTCTATTACAAGAGTCCCGAATACTCGAAGCAAGCCCAAAATGGTGATACTCTCCAGGAAAGACCTCTCGAATATCGGTCTGTTTTGCAGTCTGCAATAAAGTACGAGAGTCGCATGGTAATACTGTGGATAAGCTTGGGACTGATTTTAATACGGTAAGCAATTTTTTCAAGCTGTTATGCGAAATTTTTTCAGTAACAGCCCATTCTCCCAGTTTTGCTTTCATATAATCCATATTCTGAGAACTGTCCACCGATGCTTCATCTATCACAGGAACTTCAACAATGGAAGTTACGTTTCGATCAATATCAATATTGTCGTCGCTGCTTGGATAAGTGTCCATTGAAAAAAAATTATTTTTATCTTGCGTAAAAATATAGCCTTCATCGGACGAGGTTTTAGTATCAGGCGAATTATTTGCATTTATTTCAATGTTTTCTGGTAATGAGTTGAAAACCAAATTTTGCGTAAGAAGCAAATCTGTTGGTGTATTCGCAAGTTCAGTCGATAAATCAGTAGATTCAATCGATGGATTAATAGATGCATTAGTGGGTTCAATGGATTCATTAATGGATTCAAATTTATCTTCCCACTGTCGAAAGATTTCAACGGCACGCCGACGTCGTTGTCGGTTACAAATTTCAAAATTACTTTTTCGTTTACGTGATTCCATCTGTAGGAAATATTTTATTTTTTACAAATGTAACTAAGTCAAATTACACTGTTCGATAAAAAAAAGCATTTTCCTTTTCAAGAATTGTAACATATTTTTAACCTTTTCGATACACACATGGGTATTTCGTGTTCGATCGATTTCTATTTATTGAAATTTCTTACTAATGTACGGATCGTGAATCGGCCGAGAGTGCAAAAGTTTGGCGCACGAGGCGAAGCCGAGTGTGACAATTCGCACGTATATATATATATATAAAAGTAAGAAAGGAAACGGCTCAAAATTTAGAAAAATCACAAAACACGTGTTCGATCATTTCAAAGGCTACTTTTTTAAGGAGATTGGAGAAGTCGCTCAAAGGGGCTCTCCAAGGAGTACAAAGGAGATTAGTTCCCTAACTTTAAAATTTTAAATGGGACCCTCTATTTTTTATTGCATATTTTTATAGCTTGTCTTAAAAGCTTTTGAAAATACTATAATAAATTATTTTTTTATTAAAAATATTTTGAATTATAAAGCTTGAAAGTTGCAGTATTTTGACATAAATATAAAATATCTTGTAAAATATTTATTTTTCGATAATCTTATCTTAATATTTTTTTCAGAATAATAAAAGAAATCAGTTAGTGTAAAGAAAACTCTTAAAAAATACTATTTTTTTCTAAAAAGTCAAAAAAGTAAAAAAGGTGTTAAATTTGCGTTAAAAACTATATCTTTAAAATCTTACAAAAAGTAATATCTAAAAATTGCACTAAGCAAAAATAAAAATTTATAAAAATATTTTAATTTAAAAATGTTGCACAAAATAGTTGTTTTAATTTCCTACAAAAATAATAATATTTAAAAATTACAATATTAAAACTTAATGATATTAAAACTTGCGACAAAACAATTAAAAGATTTATTTAAAAAATTTAGCACTTGCTAAATTTCAATTAAAATTACAATTAAAACTTAAATTGTTGTTTAATTTAATACAACAATTACAATTGTTAAATTGTTGTTTAATTTATATTAATATATTTAAAAATTTTTATTTTTATGTAGCGCAATTTTTAGATATCATTATTTTTTGTAAGATTTTAAAAATATAGTTTTTAACACGAACTTAGCGACTTCTCCGACCTCCTTAAAAAAGTAGTCCCTTGAAACAATCGAACACATGTTTTGTAATTTTTCCAAATTTTGAGCCGTTTCCGAAATATAGAGGTAAGGCGAGACTTTATGGAAAATCTGTATACACACACACACACACATATATATATATATATATATATATATACATATATATACATACATACATACATACATACATACATACTACATATACACACATCAATAAAAAAATTACAGACAAGCGTAAAAGATGATTATTAAAAGTTATGCTTATTTCAGATTTGACTCAAATATAAATATACAGAATATATAGACTTCAAAAATATTTATAGAAAACATGCGTAACAAATTTTATGTAAACAATTTTAATATCAAACAGCATGTATATACATCTGGAGATGTTCGGAAAACGTTTCGAGTCCTATCATCCCAAGAACTCTTCGAGATGTCTTCTAACCATCTTTTTGATGTGCATAATGCTTAATATGCGACACGTAGCAAAAATTAAAATTGTTATAACTTAAAAAAATAAGTTAACCAGTTTAGAAGTCAGAAGTTTATCGTATATATATATATATACCTTCAGAATATCTTTTAGATACATATGTTGTATGAGAAAAAGATAATTTCCATTAATATTACAAGATTTTAACCTATTTTTACAAAAAGAAATAGCCTTGTTATACAGGGTGTCTTTTAATTGATGAAAAACCTGTTAATGGCAGATTCTTGAAATCATTCGGAAACGATTTTTCTTCAACGAAAATGTCGAGCGACATCATCATTTTTTATAAATTTCCAATTTTGTCATCAAATATGTTTGTAATTAAGCTTTAAATTATATAGTAAACTCTATTTAAAATTAATGAAAAAATATAGTTTTGATAATATTTTGAGTCCAAAAAGTTAACTTTGCGAAAAACACCTTTCTTCGCTTATAAATCTGAAATTAATATCTCGACATTTCTTTTCGCT